AAACTTCTTCCAACATTACCCTCGAAAATTGGGCATTGCGTACAATGCCAGACGTCATGCTTTGCCCGTAACGTATACACCGTGTGCGTAGTGTACGTTTTATTATACATTTTTTTTTCTTTAACCAATGCATTAAATTGTAAACACCGTGTGCGTAGTATACGTTATATTATATATGTATACATTTTTTTTTTTAATAAACCAGTAGTACCTACTTTAGGAATTACATTCAACTACCGTAATATTATAAATTAATCAATACTCATATAATGTTGTTATTTCGCGTGCAGCTGTATAAGCGGATGTTTTTGTAACCGTTAAAAACCGGTCAGCCAATCAGATGCACGGCGTTATTGTGTCGGCATTGTGGGACGGGGATCCGATCGGAACGAACGAAAACGCGTCGGCCGTAATTTTATTTATTTTTGTCCGTTCTGTAGGAGGGCATATCTGTGTGTCAAACATAAAATATTTTACCATACGAACGACCTACGGTTACGGGGTTGCGTTCAGTCATCGAGCAGCTGGCGCGCATTCCCGTGTACCACGAGCCGAGCCAACGACGGTGGAAACCGTCCCCAGACCATTATCTGCGCGCATTACAAAACCGGACTGCGCGAGGGATGATAAAAAAAACAAAAAAAAAAAAACGAACAAATACCGAGAAGAACATTTTGTACTCGCCGCATCTGCCAGTGTAATAATATGTACACATATATTGTACGCAATATACATTGTTACACTGTTTCGATGGGTTCAAGCGATTATAATACACGCGTACCTATATATTATTATTATTATTTTTTGGAATTTTGAAAACGTACATTTTGCGAGTGCGAGGTCTGTAATTTCCACCAAAAAGTTATTATAAAATATATACGATCGTACAACATTTACGTTTTTATCTGCTGATTTTTCTAGAACTTTTAATGTTCTCTCCGTATCATCTCTGGTATTGCCTACGATTTAAATCATCAGCAAAACCCAGGATTTGAATTTTTCACTTGTTTATTTCTATACGATTTTTATTTTTTTTGCATCTTTCTAACCGCTTTCTCTACAGCTAGATTAAATAATATCGTTGATAATTAATAATATGTGCGAAATAAATTTGACGAAATGGAACGGCATTGATACGGAATACGATCTGAAAATGGTCAGAAAAATATTACTAATTCTCCCGCTACGGGGCTCTCGTCGTTGTCAAGTGTACCGCGGGTGAGGGGTTTAGGTAACCTCACCACCACCGTATCGAGTTAATCCCTCGAATTCGGTTGTCGTACGCCACAGCTGCAAACGGTTCCTTACCTTCGGATTTTCGATAATCGACTAGCCCATTTTCAATCCCCGGTAACCATAATATACCTTGATACGGTTTTAATTGGTTCCCAGAATGCAGCTGTGTTGTAGTCCTGGGGGGGGATACCTATAGGTAACAATATAAAAATATATATGTAAATGAAATGCCGAAAAGAATATCGTATTAAATGCTTTTACTAAAATACCATCAAAATATACCTAGATATTTAATTTTTAATTAAAAATTTGCAATTTGTAATAAAGATATAAAATTAATGGCAATGTTTTTCATTTTAAAATAATATGTACGAAATTTCTCTTCTTTTTATTTATTTCTTATCACGTGCTATCGTTTTTTGGAAGATCCGACCTTATCTCTTTATTACTATCTGCTCAAATATTTTTCGGCTGATTTATTTTCGGTTCTTTTACGAGCTTCCCACTCGGCCACCACTACGAATTAACATTTACTAAATATATACTTATTAAAGATATAGTTACTAGCATTGAATATAGAATACACAGATAGCCCATGTTAATATTTGACGACTATAAAAAGGATGCCACCGCTATGAAGCGCTAGTGTAGTTTAGGATGCGAGGAGGTAGTACCTCCGTCATAGTTGTCGTGGACGGGTGGGTGTTGGGATGCGAGCAGGTGGTACCCCCATCATAGAACGATAAGCGGTGCGGAGGGGAGGTAGCTTATCGCGCGTTATTGTCGTATTAATAATAGAATATTTGTTCAAATAAATTGGTATACAATTGTTTACTATCATTGTATTTCGTATTATTTTCGTAATCTGTTGAGTCTCACAACCCATAGGCGACGCTTGTTTTTGATTGCGATTACACGTCCATACAACACAATGATATAGTATTATTATAATTTGTATTTTATTACTTGTGATCAATTTTATTATATAAATATAATAACGATTAATTTGAAAAATGTCTGGTAATAAGTGTCAATACTTAAATTGTTGTAAGTCAAGGGAAATTTTTCCAAATTTACGAATGTATCGCTTTCCAAATGACAGGAGAAGAGAAATGTGGATAATACATTCGGTTAGGTTGATGTGCTTTAAAAATAATTCGAGATTGGATTGTGTCCAAAAATTATAGTATGCGATCAAGGCACTAACAATCAAAGTACATTAAAATCATTAAATGTTTCAGAAAATAGCCCATTTTTTTTTTCAACAATAATAAATTATTTTCTTTGTTTGATGTTCCACATTTGCTTAAAAGTATTAGAAATAATTTAATTGAAGCCTGTTTCATAAAAGGTGATAATTTAATATCATTTGATGATATAAAAAAAACATATGAGATAGACAACCAAAATAATAAAAGTAGATCTCTCATTAAAATAACAGATGCACACATTTATCCAAATTATTTTAAAAAATGCGTGTTAAATAAGCTGTGAAATTATTAAGCAATTCCATGTATGTCAGCAACGATTCGAACTTGTATATAAACAGGACAACTTTAAAGTAAAAGTTCTTCGAATACTGCAAATTTTTATCGAGTTTATTAATCATTTATCTGATAGTCTTAATAGCAGGTCTTTATATAACTGTAATCCATATCTCTGTGCATTAACTGATTTAGGTACTGTACAACAATTTTTAATATAAGTTTCACAATACTTCACAAACTTACAAAAATTAAAGAAAAGAAAATTAACACAACCGCCCTGTTTTAAAGGTTTTACACAGACCATTAATGGTGTATTACAATTTTTTAAAGAAGAAAAATCTAATAATGTTGTATTTTTAATTACTAATCGTTTGAATCAGGATATATTAGAAAATCTCTTTAGTACTTTTCGACAAAATGGTGGTTATAACAAAAACCCAATAGCTAGAACGATTAGGACTTCGATTAGAAGTAATTGTATTTTTTCTTTATGTACGTCTAAAGGGATAAATTGTGAGGTAACCTAAGAAAATGATAATTCAATAATAATTGACCCAGAAAGTTCTCAAATTAATATAAATTCTAACAGTTTAACATTATCTTCTGATTCTGATACTGAACGTTTTTTTAATATACATTTCTCTTCTTTATCATATGATGAGGACTCTATTAATATTGAAACTTTAAATAATGATGTTACTTTAGAGGACTGTTCTGTCACATACTTTGCAGGATATTTGGGCTATAAATGTATGGAAATAATTAATTGTAACCATTGTCAAAATTAATTATTTACAGACAAAAACTTAAACAATATAAAAAACAATTACTTCTTCTTAAAAAAAATTATATTTCAATTGAAAACAGAGGACTTAATTAAATAATTAAATAATATAATAAATACAATTTTAAATATTTTTGAAAACAATTATAAATACTATTTGCATAAGAAGAAAATTAAATTTCAATTAATTAAGTGTGTAAAAACAATAATATAATTCTAAAATGGCTACATGAACCCATGGCATCTTTTAATATGTAAAATATTTAATGAAACAAAAATGTATTCAACGATATCAAAACTAGAAAAACTTTCAAAATTAAAAATATTAAACCTCATTTAGAAATAATAATTATTATATTTTCATTTCTTCATTATCTCTTTGTTCTGACATTGTGCCTATGATTTAGTTCAATCTGTCTTTCTATGGAGTAATACATTTGCTGGTAGCTGAATACAGAACTTTCTGAACCTGCAAAGCTTTATTGCTACTATGAGACTCAACATGTGTTTATTATACCTTATAATTTATACCATAAAACTGATAATATTTTTTTTCATTATAATTACTAATTATTGATTGTACAAATTTAATAGATTATAAATTCTCCATATAAAGATGTTTTTTTTTAAATAAAAAAAAAGTCTCAAAGTTGTAATAATTGTTAATAATTTTAATTTATAACATAATAAATATAATTGTATAAATATATGCTTTTTTTGGGGGGGGGGCCTCAACTTTGCAATAAACAAATAATTACTTTTTATGTTCCATTTCAGTCTACAAACTATGGCGTTAACACTCCTATTATCAAATACAAGACTATAAAATCGTGAAGAAATAAATAATAGTCAATTCCGAAAAAAAACCTTGATATAGATAAAATAAACAGTTCTATAAATAACTTCCTGCTACGCAGCCGTGACGTCACGATCGATCACGGACAATAATAACAAAAATGTAATTTCAAGTAAAATTATTTGTTCATTGATACGTACAACGCCATCTCTTGGGAAACAGCATAAACATAATTATAGTCACCAGATATTCCTATGCCATGGGCTATCTGTGTATTCTATAATCAACAATACTAGTACATTTTAATCCGTGGACACCGACAACCACCACCTCATATATCTAAATATATAGTATCATTATTTTCATATTGTTATGATCAGCGCGGTAATAAGAACCACGGTTGTAGATAGAACCGTGATAACGTTTGACTTTTCGTGGTTTTGATATTGGTACGAAACGACTATATTTTCCACCATTTTTCATTTACATTTTTTGAAGAAAACAAAATAGTTATTACGAATTATTATTTCCTAGTGTATTACTATACAGCAATAATAATCTTTGTGTTTATCAGTGAATGTACTCTATTGTGTGCGATTTATATATTTTTTATGTGTATCAATTTTTTTACCAAAAATCTTACTACTGTCAAATAGGACACTCATCTTTTTTGTAAAATTTTGGATCTAGTTACCTACTACAATTAGGTGGTCATTTTTTGATTTTCCCAGTAGTTTTCAATTAACTACTATGAAAAACCAAACAAATGTAAGTTTTTTAAAGTTATTTTTTAGAGGAACTTTTACCGAACTGATTGCCATACCTAATTGATAATATCAAATAATAAGCATAATATACAAATATAATACTGGGTGCACTCCGAGAAGACACAGAAACAAACCAAAAACAAATTCTACTTTTTTAGTTTGAAAAAAACTGAACAAATAAAACATACCTATCTGTCTATACTGAGATGATTAAAAATTAAAAACAATATTTTAACAAAATTCGAATATTTTTTCTTCTCTTATCTACACACACTAAACGAGTTAGTTTTGAAATATTTTAAAACTCATTTTCAATGATCAGATATTTATTCATTCACTGAAGTTCGAACAATTCAAATAAATAAAAATATGAACAAAAATTACAATGTGAAAAATAAGAAAAAATTTTGAAGACTACAAAGATTTATTTATGCTAGGTGCTGGGTACATTATTTTGCAACAAAAAAAAAAAAAAAATAAATAAAAGATGTTATAGGGTAAGGTGATCTTTGCTAATAAGGAATGTACAAAGAGAAGATAAACTTTTAATAAACTTATAAGATAATGATGTTGGTTTAAATGGAGAACTTTGATCTAGTTTTAAAATTTTTCTAAGAGAATCCCGAAACGCTATCTTACCTGTTGGTTATTTTTAAAACACTGTCTTTAAACGTTCAGCATTGTTTGCCAAAACAAAAACGTTCTGATTTTTACTGACACTGCTCAGGACATGACTTTGTTTTTAAAAATTCGAACAACTTGTTGAAAAAAACACAATTTTTTTAAAAATTTTGTCACAAAAACACAGACTTTCTGTTTTGTTTTAATTTTGTCATCTTAGTGTGAACCCAGCATAACAGTAACCAGTTACCGTAAAAACGGACAAATTCTTATTCATGGAATTTTTTTAAATTTGTAAACCTGTTCTTAATAAAACATTTGCCCTTCTAATTTATTCTTACACTAATAAATTAGTGTGATTAGAAGTTAAGTTATTTTCAGTGGACATACTATTTTATTTTTATGTCTAGTGGGGATGGTAATATCTACCGATTTTCATTAAATGTCTTATTTTTGTCACAATTATCATAATCTTAATGTAAAAACTTAGATTAAATAAATTACTTATTGTTTATAGTAGTCAGTAGGTAAGTAATGTAGTACCTATGATAAACATTTCCACAGTCTTAAACAATGAAAATTGTTTTCCAAAAAGTATTAAAACCATTAATAAAAATTAAATAATTTTGCATTGATGAAATATTTAATTACATGTTGCCACTTAGTTACTTTTCCAATTAAATGTCACTTTTTTTATTTTGAATTTGTCGTATATTTTTTCAAACTATTTATATTAATTTTTTCCAAGTATTTTGAGATTAATTGTAATTCAAGGAGTGATTTATTTTTTTTTTGCATTTTTTTTTTCAAAGACTGAAATAAATTATATTGTAGTTGTCTAAGTTAACAGATATATTTAATCTTAATTGTAACATTATTATAAACACTGGTTGGTCAACCGAATGTAATCTGTAATCTTTTTAGGTATTTTTCACTATAATAAATATATTTTGTTAACATATGTTACCAAGAATTAATAATAAGTTTCTATAGAAATTTGCATTTTTTAATCCATTTATCTATATTTTCAAGTTAAATAATAATTAGTAATAAATACTTCATTTGAAAATGAAATATAAAATAAAAATACATGTACTTAAAAAAAATAAATACATTTTTAGTATAAAAGTTTTTATACACAAAAGTAAAAATGTATTATAAAAAAAAAACACAAATATATTTTCATTTAATTTAAAGAGCTTTGGGGGAAATATTAATGACCACATAATATTATATACATACTTTGATTATAGTATTGCATTCAATTTTATTAAGAGATATTTTTCTACCAAATATTATTAATATCACAAGTGTGTAAGCATTTTTGTTTTAAATTAAAGCATGCCATTTTCTTATACTAAAAAAATGGATATGCTTGATTTTTACACACAATTTAATAAAAATGCCACAGCAGCAGTTACCATATTGAACATTTATTAAAATTTAAGAAGTAAATGGCTATTTTCAATACTAAATATATATTCTAATTATTATGCCATGTTTAAAAATAAAATTGTATAAAATAGCTCTTGTTTTTAAAAATACAGTACTTATGGTTTCGTGTAAAATTATCTCAATAATCGTCAATAATTTAAAACCTAAACTTTTATTATAAACGTGATTAGAAGTACAATAATCATACTTTATATTATTATGTCTTATTGAAATGTGTACCTAATAAAATTAAAATATTATTCTAATGTAATAAATCAAATTAATATACTAAGAACAAATTTACAACCAAAATCAATTTCTAACAATTTATAAAATCATTTAAAGGATATACTGAAGTTGAAATATTTATGATTGTTTTTTTTTCAATTTTGACTGACTTCCATAAAGTCGTTTGTACATCAACATTAGGGTGTTTCAGTTATTTTTTTTTTTTACAGTAATTGATATCTTTGGGACCCCTTTGATTAAAATCAAAATATTGTAATCTATTGTAATCAGAATTTAAATCTATTTAATATATTTATTTATTTTTTAATACTTTTGTATACAATTTCCAATAACTACAGTTATTGACACAGAATTCAGTTATTTATTTCTTAATTTTTGTTATTGACATTCTCTTTAAATTGTTTATTTACACTTTAAAATTATTTATTTACAATCCATACGGTTGCATTACTTGGGACCATGGATATACGCCGCTTTTCCTATTAATGCACATGCTTTTTTAAAATTTGCTAAGTGTTACAAATTAGAAAAATAATACAATAACAATTATTTAATAAGTATAATTAAAAAATATGCTAATTAATTCAAAAAACGACTGACACACTTCGCACGATTGGTGGGCCACTGTTGTAGGTGAGAAGTTGAGAAGGTATCCAGTAGGATATAGAAAGGAAATTTATGTATTTATCTGTATGCAACGCTTAAAAATTGCTAATGAAAAACGATTTTGAGCTGAATTCGGTTATACCTTCCAAGCATTTCTGTTTGGTCTAATAATTTTATTCACAGAGTACCTACATACCTACCGAATAATAATTATGTAAAAAACTCGCAAAATTAAAATGTCTAAAATGTTTTAAAAATGTTATTACGTCTACAAAAGGCAAATATAGGTTTTTGTTCAAATTTAAAGTATCTACAAATATTTAAAATATTAAATTTCGTATATTTTTTCATTTTTTCCCATTTATTATGAAAACTTAAAATTCTTGATTAACAAGGAAATTAAAAAATGATCTGTATAAAGTACCACCCAGATTTTTTCTTTCTAGTACTAAAGTACTAACTACTAAATTTGAAAACTGGAACAAGATTTCTAGTAGAGAAGCTGTTCACAGAAAAAATAAAAAAATATTTACACATATATATATATGACATATAATTATTAAATGGAAAAAAAAAACTAAGAAAGAAACGATTATGGCTCGTACCTATAGTAATTATTAATAATAATACAATAATTAATATTTGCTACTTAAATGATTTTATTTGTTTTTAGGAAACTGTAACTTTCATTGAAGAAACTCAACAACTTGATGAGGAAACACAACTTGATAATGACAATCAACAAATAATTACAGATCAGTTCAATTTAAATGAACATGAAGGAAAGGCACATCTACTTCTCCATTCCGATTTATTTTTTTGGAATATTTAAAGTATTATATTGATAACAGAGTCTCTGATTTCAAATGTTTCATTCCTTCCTTTATTGACCAGTATTTTTTGTTTTTAGAGTCAAATTGTATTTTTGTGTTTGGTCATTTCTGTTTACAACTTCCGGTTTTCATCATCGAAAATAATAACGTATCAATATAAAACACTACTAGAGTAAGGCAGATGTAATACAAGAGCATGTAATATTAAAGTACTGCTCATACAATGACATCTGTAATAATAAAGATTCAGGCTAAAAAAAATAATGTAGCTTTGGCCTTTCTAATTATTTTTTGGAATCATTAATTTTAATCAGTCGTTTTAAAAATTTAGAGTTTTTGAGTGCAAATGGATTTTTATTTTTCTAATTGTCCTGAGTTTTTTATACTGAGAGTAAAATTATACATGTCAAATTGTGATTTTCTGTTTCAAATATGTCTTAGTGTACATCTCTGAGTGGGGCAGATGTATTGCAGACTCTTTTTTGTATGTTTAGTTTCTTTAATGATCTGAGCTTTTTATGTTAGGAGTATAATTGTACACATCAAAATAGACTTTCTGTATTGAGCATTTCTTTTTACAACTACTTAAATCCATTCTGAAATATAATAAAAAAAAGGTGTAAACCACTGCTGGATTGAGGCAGATGTATTGCAAAAGCATATAATGTATCTTCAAGATAAGAAAGTTAACTTAAGCATAACTTTAACATACGACCTTGAGCTAATCATAGACATTGTGGAGTACCCATTGAAGTAAACTGTCATGTCGCATAGTGTTGTAAAGTCATATTTCATATGATTGCTCGCTATAGGAAATCACTCTCAAAAAAACTGTCATTTGTCAGAGAATTAATATCAGCACGAAAAGTAATTTTTTTTAATAATTGTATTACTTTAAGCAGTTTATAAGTGGCTTTTCTGCAAATTCTTTTGCTTTTATACCTATAGGCTGTTTTATGAAAGTTATGGTTTTTGTTTTTACGTATATTCATGTGATATGGTAATCTTTCTTTTGATGACAGACTTTTTTTACATAGTAAACATAAGTTTTCTTGTTCCTCTTCGGTGAAAACTTCAAGATTAGAAAGTTAACTTGAGCCTTATTATAACATATGAACTTGAGCTAATCATAGAGATAGTGGAGTACCCATCGAAGTAAACTGTCATGCCGCATAGTGTCGAACAGTCATACGCTGTTCTATTATTTTTTAGAATGAAGGGCTGTTTAGTCTGTTTGCTCTTCATACAAACTTCACAGATTGTAGGTAGTTCCTTTGTATTGAATTGAATTCCAAAAACAACATTCTTCAGTTTGTTCCAATAATGTCTATTTGGATGCCCCATTCATTTATGCCATAATATTCCGTCAATATTTGTCTTGACACAGCTGTTGACATTAGTGCTATTATCTCGAGTAAAAATTAATTTGTATAATGTTTGGGTTCTTTTAGCTATTGCTGTAAAATTTCGATTTGAATTCAACACACCTTGTCCTTTTTAAAAAAATATTTTAAAATTAAGTTCTTCAACTTAACCAATAGACAACAAATTATATCTTAAATGTGGAACATAATATACATTTTTAAATTTACTTAAAATAGTCTTACTTTCTACTTTACTGTAAGCATTTATTGTACCTATTTTCATTTCGGTTAGATTTTCTCCATTTTTAGCTACACCTATGATCATTAAATTTGCTAGTACTTCCAAAGATGAAAAATATCTGCCTGAATCAAGATATGATGTTATTTCGTTTTTATTCTTCATTTCCTTGCGTTTGCTAGCAACATGGTTACTGAAAAACACACACTTCCATCATTCTCTGAAACATTGTTAGCTATTTTTGTTTATACAACTCTTTGGATCTGTTTTTTCCTTTATATAACGTTTTCCTTTTTAGCTTATATTCAGCTGATTTATGTCCAACTCGATCACAAGTATAATATTTAAAAGAAAATTTACCAGTATTCTTTGAATTAAACGCTGCACTGTTAGAGGAAGATTCTTCATTTATAATACTATTACTTTTCTTTGTTTCTTCATCTAGTAAACGACCTTTTACAAATTCAATTGTAAGAGTCTCTGGTGAAAGAGTTTCTAATCTGTAACTACATTGTTGTAAATGTCAGACATAGTAAGTAGTAGATGACAAACAATATCCTCGTTCTCTAGTTTAACTCCTGCAGATCTGAGTTGTCGTATTATCTCATCAAACTTCACAAAATGACTTTCTAAATTTATTTCACCGCTATATTTTATAGTCAATAATCTCCTTCTCAAATAGAATTGACTGGTGATCCCTTTTCGCTCAAAAGTTTTTAATAGTGAATTCTAAATTTCTTTTGATGTATTCTCTCCCATCACATATTATAAATGACTATCAGCAATACATTGAACTATAAGTGTCTTACATCTATTGTTTATTTAAAATATAATAAATATAGAAATCATAAGAATGGTATAGGTAATATAGAACTAGGCGAGTTAACCATTGTGTTATTGATGTGTACTAATATAGGTATCGGTTCCAGGTAACCTTGGTACTGGTCCCTGTTAATTTTATATTTTTATCTTATAAAATGTTTAAGATATCAAGACTTAATTATGTTATTAAATTATTATATTATAATGATAGGCTATTTAAACTATCATACATAATGTAAAATAAAATATTATGTAATGTAAGAAATAAATCCATCAATTAATAACGGGAACAATATTTTAATGTGATATCTACTCATCGTAAGGATATGATATTTAAGCTATCATATATAGTTAAAATAAAATGTATAATCAATGTTGTAAAATAATTATAATAATTTATAGCCATTAAGTATTAGATTAAGTTGTTAGTATTAACCAGATTAAGATAATACATTTACACACGCACACACACATAGATCTCCAGTTATAAGGAGGCAGGCTACTTCTAATCACCAGCAGTGTGTGTATTGTTCCTGTTGCTTTTGGACAGATGATCACAAGCGAGTGTAAAGACTACGCAGAGATTCTTACAAAAGCACGGGAACCTAGAACAGTGTTTTTTATTTATTTCGGTCACCTTTATCAGATTCAACAGATCATTTGCCGCCTGAAGGAGAAAGGTAATCCAATTTATAATCAACTTATACGTGTGAATCAATTTTATATAATTAGGCTGACCCCCCTATATATTTTGATTACTACAATATTAAGTTTAACAAAGAAATATGTAAGTATTTTATTTTCTATTAATATTGTAATGTATTTTTGAGATAGAACACAAAAAAGTATATTATTGTAATTATAATTTTTACATTTTTGTAGTTTCATGTTATTTATTTTTTTATTAGTCATAAAGACTGATTAAATGTTTAATACGAATATATTTTTCAAAAAAAATTTACTTTTATTTGTTGTACTAATTGTGTAGTGTGGTTTTCAAAGAGTAGAACCACATAAACAATTTTTGTTTTTATTTTTCACGTATTCTATTTTATATTTTTATATTGTAATTAAATTATAAAATGTATTACATAACTAACTATAATATTATCTAGAGTTCATTTATTTCCTTTTTTCTTTTGATATTTGAATTAGGTAATGGCTTAAAGAGTACTTATGGTTTAATTTGTCTATAATTTATAGAGCGACATTGGTTATTGATTCACATAGATGTGTTGGGTACTTAAAAACAATTATAAAATTAAATTAATTATGATGTTATATTATAAACTTATAGGTATTCCTACATATTGAAATTATTCATTGCATTTTTTCAAAGCAAAATTCACAAATTCTCAACCTATCGAATATAAGAGTTAGGAATTTAGTATATAAATTTAACTTTTGGGTTTGGGAGGGGAGCTGAAGCCACAACCCACTTCATAAATATGCCCAGACATAATATTATTGTATTTAGTTAATATTATATACAGTAATATATTATTACTGTAAAATCTCTTATATGTAAAGCGTAAAAAATAATTATTACCTCCTATGTGTTAGCAACAAACCTTTTGTCTGGTGTTTTAGAATACAATTTTATTAACAAAACCTCGTATGTGTGAAATTCCTAACGAAAGACTTGATATCCCTTTTGAATAGAACAATGTAATAATAATTAAGGTATAATATCACAATATTATATATTATATAACATTGTTTAAATATTTTTTCCGAATTTGTATATCGCGCACTTATTTTTAAACTGATAAAATGTCTCTCCTGAAAAACTGGGTTGTTTTAACATGGGAACTTTTTCACGCCATCTGCCATATGTTTACATTATAATTATATATTGTTTATAATTATAAATTGTTTGTATTACAGTATAATAATAATAATAATAGTAAAGTATTTTATCCTTATATTATTTTACGATTACCAGTGGAATAATTTTTTAATATTTCTGGAAGAAGTTATTTTTTTAATTGTTGATGTTTTTGAATTGGGGATAATAAATTAGAGTCTGGAGGTGCTGGCTCCAGCATCCTCAAGAACTCTCCTAGTTGTGCCCATGGTCCAAGGTTAGTATCTTAATTAAATTTAAATCCATAGAATCAGTTATACAAAGATTTTAATTATCTATTTAAATTATACATTTTACATTATATATATTCATATCGTGTATTGTTTAAAAGCAATATGGCAGGTGCTAAACAATTTTTAAGGAAATAATAAAAAATGATACCACAATAGCTTCTGAACTAGACGTTGAAACACGTATGCCTCGAGCTTATGGGAGATAAACTGCCCGAAACAATATAAATGCCAAAGACGCAGAAAAGTATAAAATAACAATATTCATACCATTTCTTGATAATCTAATATTATTCAGTTATATTCAAGATTTGATAAAATACTAGAATAATTATATCACTAGAAGAACTCGTATCATCTAATTTCAAACATATTATGACGACCAATCAATCTTAGCTGCTGCTTCCATTTACGAAAATGACTTTTCAATTAGTATGCATTTATGTTTGAAAGTAGAATTATTCATATGGAGATAGCAATGGCAATTGAAAGAAAATGTACCAGAGACTGTTGTAGAAGCAACTTAACACTGCACAGAGCTTTTTCCAAATATAAAGAAGATTCTTCATTTATTTGCTATTCTGCCTGTAACATCCACTACCTGGGAACGTATATTTTCTGTTCTAAGAAGACTGACAACATACCTACGAGCTACAATGAATGAAGAAAGGTTGAATGGTTTGGCATAAGCAACAATAAATAAAGACGAATTAGAATATGAAAACATCGAAAAAGAAATATTGAATGCTTTTATTAAAACATCACCTAGGAGGATGAAAATAACAGATTGGACATAATAATAATATTATATTATAAACCATAAGAAATAAATAACTCATTAAGAATATTTACCTTATAATTAATTTAGTTGTTTGCAATAAATTATTATAAATGAAAAGTTATTAAATATTTTATTCATTTCAGCAGGATATATTTAGTGTTTTAACTGATCATATAATAAGTATATGAACTAGTGAAAACAATACGATTTCATTTTGTAAAAAGTTTTTTTATTGCCCCCCCCCCCATTGAGAAATCCTGGCTACGCCACTAAGTCCCCGAGTTTGTTGTTTCCGTTGGTTTGAGTAGTCGCAAATAGACGTATTCCCGCTTTATATGAAAATGGTTTTATTGATTTATTAATAATCAATACATAAAACTAAAACTATAATATACCATATCGCACGAATGTATATACATAACGCATAAATAATATTTTCTGTATAACATAATTTTTGCTGAGTAGACGTATCTATAATATTATATTTTAACACAATATTACCGGCGACGGTAACGAACGCGTAGAACAATAATGCATGTAGTTTTATAATACGGAAAGAACAAAATTTTAGGTCCGCGTGGTATATTTGTGTCGATAGGGCATACCTATCAATATTGCTATTGTTGCCCGGATGTACTGCATTAGGTAGACACGAATCAACAATAATCTCGGGCGATGGGTAGCTTCCAGTCAGTATCGAACATACTACACTTTTATATTAGTATGTATACGTATATGTCACGACGATGACCGTCTAATAAATACACGCATCCAAAGAACCAATATACATTCATATTCATCGACAGACAAGTCGCCGTGTGTTCGTGTTGTTATGCGTCTTAAGCACAAATAATATTATTTCACACCACACCGTATTATTCTACTGCCGCCCTCTTTATTCTACAGTTTTAACGCATTCGAATTTGAAAAAAAAAAAACCGACCAACACTCTGCCGTGGATAACTGTTGTTACGGGCCGTTTGGAACCAGCCCTTTGATGGAAAGATGTACAAGTGCGTTTAGGTCTGCAAATAGTTTTCATTTGAATTTAAACGAAACACGGTTGACAAATTAAATTTATAAGTGAAAATCTTTACGACATCAGACCCGGTTCAAGACTTAGTTGTAATTACTAGGTATACGTACACTAAAAAAATGATTGAACGGGTTGGCGTCGAGGTGACGGTGCTCCTCATTCTCGTGCGTCGGTAGTGACGTGGCTGTCTCGAATTCTAGCTGAGCTAAGCTCCTGTGATCCTCTTGGTGATGATCCCGGTCTCCTTATATGTGTTTGTCGCCTCGTTCGTGGCCTAGGTGGTGTCGGACGCTGTTACCGTTGTCTACTGGTGGTACGTCGTCCGTACCCGAACACGTCTTCGGCCCATGAACACATATCATCCGTTGTTGCACGGGAACGTCGTCGGTTTACCACACCCGTATTAATAGCCCTGATATGCGTCGTACACTTAATGCGACGTCCGATTACATATCTTGTCGCGTGGAATTATTCATTTATAACTAACAAACTTAAACACGTGAAGGACAGAGTCCGTAACACCTCCCCACCAAAAAAATAGATTTATACTCCTAAAAACATAAAGCTTTTACAATTTAACTTAAAATAGGATTACTAATCTACTTCTTAGTGGTACCCATATTACAATATTGTATGGATAGCACAGATTTTTACAATTTTATACAATATATATATATATTATGTCATCAGCTGTTATCATGGGGCAGACGTTATAGGTATAATTTGTGCGAGGACTCGTATTAGCGAGTTATACACGTTAGTTATTATACATATTATCAATGGTCACAAAAGTTGGAGTGTGTAAAATACAGACGGTTATACCGAGTTCGATTCTTGTCAAGAATATTATTGTAGAATAATTATTTAATAATCGCAGGTGTATGATAACGATGCGATAAGAGTAAGTCGATAATGTGAAAAAATATTTGGATAAAGGGGGCATGGTTTAAATAGGTCGAGTACGTGATGGATGTAAAAAAAAACTATAAGAGGGTGGGGTAAAATATATGTCGATGAAAGGATGGACAATTCGGGCGGTCATGTTAAATTATAGCACTGGCATCGGCACAGGCACTCTACGCCAGAAGCACTGGCTCCTGGCGTAGAGTCATCTATTTTATCTTACTTATTATATTATATTGTATTATTAAAACAATAAAACAGGCATTTAATATTAAATTTGTTGGTGAAACTGAAAAATTGAAATTCTCTGGCCCCTACAAAAAGCCGACAGTGACGTTCCTTTGTATATAAGGATGAATCCAAAACTTCTTTTTCGTTTTTCTCTATACTAATCAACTTTTTGTATAATCGCTTCTTCGTCACTTGATGAACTTGATAGTCGACATTTTAAAATAGTCTACAAAAGAACTGCGCAAACATCAGTAAACGACTGATACTAATCGTACGGCAATCTCTCGTGTGTGGAGGGCAATGTTGTGTGTGTGTGTGTGTACGTGTGACCGACCGGCGTTTCTCTTTATCATCCAGTTTACTTTTAGGCACGCTAACCTAATTAAATTGTAGTGGTGAAGGCGGACATTGGCGCGGGAAATGGTGGTGGTCACAGGATGAATAATTTAAATATTTTTTCGATTTCAATTTCAACACTATTAACCAAACTCCGCTCAGAATCGTGTTTCGTTAGCAATGTTTATTCGTTGAGTATAGATATACATTACATTTCCCCTCTACTTTCCCAACTTCTCATCTACACTCACCTACAACAGTGGCCCACCCACGTGCGAAGTATGTTCGTCTTTTTATAATTGATATTTTAGTAAGTACTAACTGTCATATCCGACGTTACCCGTGCAAAAAGAAATTATAGGAAATTTATCATTCCTGTCATCAAGGAAACCCATAAATATCAATAATAAAGTAATAATATTTATTTTTTTTATTTCATACGTATCACCAACATTACCCATAAATCAATAAAGTAATTTGGTTTTCACACAAAAATACCAATAACCATATTTCACCCCCTCCCCATTAGTGCTTGAATATGCGGACAAATGTAGGTATTCCTGGTGTAGAATTATATCTACACAATGTTACAACTCAATCCGTTCAATACTCGTAATTTAGGACAAAAGTGGTAACAAAAGTATACCCACCCAAACAAATTTTCGTATTCACCTATAATATTATTAGGATTAATTTAAAAAAATCTTGTTTTTTATATATATTTATTACTGACGCTTAAGCAAATTCGTGTATTCTCGTTAGTTTCAAGTAGTATAATATGGATTTTGCTGTTTTACCCATGTGTGGTTTTTAATTTGACTCATTGTTGCTCTTTTCGTCACGTCTGGTTCTAAAATAATCCTGTAACAATTAAATGTCGGTAAAACAACGAGGAAATTGTTTAAAATTTGAAAATAAACGCATGAAATAAAATAACGTTAGGTTTATATGCGTTTCGCTACGGAATTTTTGATTTTTTTACTTCTCCGTTTTCCCAGAATTCACGAAATTCTAAAATGGCCGATTGTGGTTTTCCCTGTATAAATCTACATAATTTATACATGATGTATGATATCCAGTTTGTACGTAATGCACATATTTTGTACTATGTATGCACATTTGACGTTTAATTAACAAAATCGGTTATTTTTCGTTAGGAACGTTATTAATTTTCATCATCATGAATTTGAAGTGAATCGGAGAAAATGCCGGTGCTGGGTCGTATTGGATTTTCATGGATGAGTGTTGTATGAGTGTTTTGTAACTAATTTGAAATCATTCGAAGGAAGTACCAGAGCTACGTCAACTTAGCACCGGCATTTTTGTTTCTGGTCTGTAGAAAAAACCAGCCAGTACCTAAATTTGAAAATGCCGTAGCAAAATGCATCAATATCGTTTTATAATCATGTCATCATTTTTGAAGTTGTAGTAAGGTTTGCCGGTGGCAACTTAACGGATGTGATATGTAGAGGCAAAAGCGCCGTCTTGCCCCCCTTCGCGTGCCTATGAATATTATCAATACCCAGTGATTAGCATGATTAGCAGTATCACAGATATACATATATCAAAGATACCTTATCAAGTATCCTTTTTCGCCGAATGATGAAAAATACTTTGATATAAAAAAAAAATCATAAAAAAATAAAATGATGAACAACCCAAAAAGGTTGTTTGTGTTAACCGTTTTTGTATATAACATTTAATAAACATCTAAATAGATTGTTATTTATATTGATTTATGATGTTTACGTTAAATAATATAACAATATTTACGGTTATTTATTATGCTAATTAGATAATTATTATTACCCTAATATTTATTTTTAATTTTAAAAACTATAAGTAGCTACAATTATAACAATTAAATTTATTGTAAATTAAAAAAATTCACCAAACGAATTATTAAAGTTAAAAAACTGAAAGTACCTTACCAATACCTAAAAATTGTATGGTTTTAAATAATGTTGTTATTTGTTTAATTATAATATCATCATAAGCTAACATTTGATAATATAGGTCCCCAACTCCGATTTACGATCCTTCCCTCGAAGTATTTTTGGTGTACAGTATACGCTGTCCGAGGGGAATATAAATTATACCAGAAAAATGTTAGTAGGAAATATTATAGTATAATTACGAGATTAGCCTCAGCGCGTCTCGGGATACCGGTTTCTTGGGCTTTGCAAATTTTTTGGCAACTTGATTGGCCACGATCTGCTGGCGGTTAGAGTGTGGATACGGCATGGTGTCAGCCAGCATTACGTAAAGTACTACGCCAAGCGCCCACACGTCATAGGCTTTTGGGTCGTACGGTATGCCCTTGAAAATATAATAAAAATTAAAAAATGAACGTGCTAAATTTTAACAATCAACGCATAATTTAAGTATACTTGAAGCACTTCCGGTGCCGCGTAAGACGAACTGCCGCAGTACGTCTGACTCATTAGTCGCCGGCCCCGCTCGTCCGAACACATCCTGGCGAATCCGAAATCGGCCAGCTTGACGTGTCGCATGCTTTCCAACAGCACGTTCTCGCATTTTATGTCTCTGTGCGATATGTCTTTCTGATGTAGATATTCTACGGCATCACATATCTGCCTGTATCGATACGATATTTTTAAAACGACGATAATAAATTATTATATTTTATCGTCAAGTATTTCGGTAATACGGGTGTCCAGTTGGTATGTGATTATTATGAAATTTTCAATAACCCACCCCCCCCCTCTCAGAATCCCCGCACCTATTCCCAGATTCGTGTGACTGGTCGGCTACTTATTCGGACTTTATTCAGAGTTCGGGCTCACTTGAAAAACGTGTGCGCCTGCCACTGTGGCATGGTCTTGGCGTTCTGCAGATGGCTGAGCAGGTCGCCAGACTCGCAATAGTCCATGAACACGTGCACGATGGACGGGGTCGCATATATCCGATGGGTCCTGACCACGTGTGGGTGCCGGACCGCGCACAACACGTCCAACTCCCTGGGCAGGAACTTGCGCACGTACGACCCGCCGGTCACGCGCTTTTTGTCAATAACCTTGCACGCCAACCTTGTTGTTTTGTTCCCCGGCAACGACTTTAGGGCCATCCGCACCTTGCTATATGATCCATAGCCTACCGTCGAGCCTAACTGGTAACCATCAGTGACCAGTGTCCCGGGCAGCGCATCGTCCGACAACTCGACGATTTTCGCTTTGTTGTGCTGTTGCTGGCACTCGGGTGGCGGCTGCGAGGCCGGCGGCGGTGATACGTGTAATGACCGCCAATTGACAGGTTGACGCTGTTGTTGGAGCCGCTGTCGATCCTTTTCTGGTGGTTGTTCCCGTCCTTGATCACTGCGGGGTGACCGACACTTACTGTGGTACTGATGGTGACTGTTCATGAAATGTCGTACTGGTCTGCGCAAGATCACTGCAATATTATCGGTATTTTGTATCTAATACAATTATTATACACCGTCAAATTTACCGTTCTTCTTAAACTATTAACGAACGTCAGTATCTATTCTTCGGAAACGGTTATCTATCGTTGTCGTATATTTCCGCGGTTTTTACTAAAAATTTGGTTGACTGATAATAATAGTTAATAAATACGTATTTTTATTGTGTTCCAGCGGAGGAACGGATATTTGTTTAAAAATTCCTAAATGACGTTGCCAACGTCATTGTTTATATTTTCTATAGCAATATTATCGTGGCCAATAAGTTTATACTATTAAAAAAAAAAAAAAAAATGGATGGCTATGTAGTAAAATAGAAATTAAAATAAATATATTTAAAATAGTTACAGGCTATAGCAAATAGTATAATAGAGTGCGGGGAGGTATGTGTGTTGGTATGGTAGTAGAATATGATAATATTATATGATGATATTAGTATGTATGATATAAACCGCGAGCGCGCAATGGGCTATTTATCGATAAGATGATCGACAGTAGTGTTGTCAAAATGCGTAATCGGCTGCATATGACCCAGAATAAATCAATAGCGTAATATGTTGAAACATTGTTATAATATGTGTGCAAATGGTTCTATGTGTATGTGTGCAGTCGTACGGATTTCATTGTGATATATTTATGTGCATACTGTGGTGATGTTTATACGAATTATATTTATTGAATATTAGCTCTTAGTCTCTTACCTATCGTAAGAAGTTATTATTTGTCTTGTACCTATTTATTATGATTAATATCCTACTACAAGAATAACATATAAAAAGAAATATAGTAATCACTTATCTCGGGTTTTCCGAAGTTGACTTAAAGATCACAAGAAAATCATTGTTCAACAATATGGAGCAAAATATAAGAATACGATGAATCTTTATAATAAATACAAATAGGTTTATTTAAATCTAAGACAGATGGACATGGGTCCTCTAATACTTTGTCAGCGAAACTACTAGGGTAATAATTTGTACTTACATGGCTATACTGAGATTTCGATTATAGATAAGTGATGACTTGTAGATCTAGTCTCGTGTAGTGTAAAATACGTAAGCAATACGCTGTACATCGACGTATTACTGAATAACTAATGTGCGAGCGTATCTACAGATGTAAAGAGATCTATAAGTACATAGGTACGCTGTAATGCTGCAGTATGCGAGTAAAGTCCTGGGTTTGTTGTGCCAATATGTATAAATTATTGTTTTTACCAAATATAGACGTGGATATCCTAGAGAGTAATATTGAATTGTTTGGAAATTTAGAACAGGTGCTCAATACATCGAAGACTCCCACTTCATCACAGTAGCCACGTGGGGTGACTTTATGTACGCGTAAATAATATTATGAATTAATGTGTACTGTATTTAATGTAACTTGTATGTATCGTAACATTAATATTTTTAATAATGAAACTGGTAATTATGTTATGTCACATTTGAACATTTATTAAACATATTAGATATTCAATGTATTACAACTACATATCATTAGCTAAATTTGTGTTGGATGAAATAAAAAATGTAAGACGATGGTTCTGACCATACAAAGATGAGAACAAATTCAATAAATGTGATTGTTGATCATGGTACTGCTAAGTGTGTTACAATTGAAACTTCTAGTCAACGAAAATTTTTAATATCTTTGGGGTCGTATAAACCAAAATTATCTTCATACCCAAAGGATGTTAGTATATAAGTCTACAATCAACAACAATTCACTTCTAAGTGATTTATTGAATATCCTATGCTTGAGTATAGAATTTTTAACAATACGGTACACTGCTTTGTATGTACCTTATTTTCACATTGTTGTGGTTATAGTAAAAGTTCATAGGTGGTTGGTGGAGTAAGGCAGTAGTAAAAAATCAAAAGTAGAATAAAGGATGAATTTGGATAATTAGTTCAACATTTTTCAACATCAGCTTTCAATAGACTATGTTGGATTATTGTTTGTTTACAAGTAAATCTAATACCATAGATTTGGTTTTTAATAAGCAATTGCAGCAATCAGCTATATGTGAGAAGCAAGATCAAACATTCAATAAAGACGCAGTAAGCATTTTGATAGATGTGGTATGCATATTAGCAAGACAAGAACTTGAGTCCGTAGCCATAATGAAGGTGAAATGAATCCCAAAACGGAAATTTTTATCAAATTATTCTTTTACTATTCTAACATAATTTAAAAGGTATATTAATAAAAGGTGGCTTATGCGTTGTCACTAAGTAATATATCTTAGTATGAATCCTCAAAATAAGTTTATCTAACTTTTAGCTACAGAAACACGTACAAAAATAGTTTAAGAAGTTTCAAAATATATTCTCAGTTTTAGCTGATAGCACGCCAAGTATTTCACTTAACGGTCAGTTGTCTGTTTGTTTGAGATATGTTGATGAAGATAGATCATACAAATTCAAAGTTACTTGATGTCATTGAAATCATAGATAAAACTGGAAATGGATTGACAAAAAATAAATATGAAAGTTATTAAAATATGAACTAAAACTAGAAATGTAACTTTTCAATCATTAGATTAGAAAAATAGTATACTGGCATTTACAAAGGAACTCAACGTCTATATCTGAGATTCTTGGGCATACAGTTCCATATTGCCTATGTCAAGGGCACAGACTAAATACTTTCCTGGAGCATGGCTGTAAGGCTAATCATTTAATTAGAAATTTTATTGATATCCTTGAAAAAATGTATGTATTTTTCTTGACCAGTACAGTGATCAAGAAATTTAATGACACGTATGAAGGAAATCAAGGGAAGTTTAAAATTAACAAATTTGTCGAAAATTCAATGGATAGCCCTAACTGAGAGTATTAAGGCAATTTGAATATCATTAGATTCAATAATTAAAACTTTGGAACACATCAATAACTCTAATAGTTTAGTAAACTAAAGTTATTGGATAAAAAAAAAAATTCTAAATTCTGGTTCTTTTTGTTTCATTAATTAGTATGATGAATATAATATATAAATTTAAACATCTAACATAATCATTAGAGGCCAAATAACTAAATGTATATATAGGTAATGAAGCAATTTTAATAAAAAGTACAGTTTTATCATTTCAAACAATTTGAACTGAAACAAAAAATGTGAACAACTTGATAAACAGTGGTAAAATTACAGCACGATCTTTTGGAATTGATTCAGAAATAGACTTCATCCGTTATAACCGAGGAAAAGACTTAAACGATTTAATCAAAATGCTCTTAACTAGTGTATAGCGGTTTTATCGTGTGAGAATTCATTCAGCTCAATGAATTAAATTGTTTCCTTAAAAAGAAATTCTTTGGGGTCAGTACATAATTAGTGTTCATCAATTGTGTTGGTCCTCCAATTGACAAGATAAACACAACAAAATGGATTAAATTGTGAGTTAATAAAGATTAAAGAAGAAAATGCATACAATTCTTTGTGGAATTTAGTATATGGAGTAATATGTAATTTTTGTTTAAATAATTCTATATATATATATTAAGTAATTACTCATAAATAATAAATTAAGTGTCTCAAAATTATAATGGTGTTATGTTAACTATTTAATATACTATAAATAATGTAGGGGGTGTGGATGATGATTTCTCTTTCGGATTACCGTGACATTTATTTGCTATGGAATGATATTTCTTGAACTAAACCTAGTGTTCATCTTCAATTTTTGTTCCTATTCGAACACTAACTTAGGAAGTTTATCTGGTTTGGACCATAATTCAATTTTAAGGAGGAATATTTGGAATCAGCCAATGAGAAAATCAGAAATCTGAAGCAATTTAAATTAAACCAATGAGACTATGATACATAAAACGTGATCTAAGATTTCAATACGCATTCCTCTGTTTGTATCATTCAAATACATTTTTATGTATTTAGTTTTATTAATTAATTTTATTATTCGCGATTTTTCCCATTCTTTGTAGACCAAAAGTACGATAGTAAATAATTTCAGACCCTGAAAATAAAAAAAACAATGTATATTAGATATTATTATCTACAAAATAATAATATTATCATTATTGTTTTATTATTTTAAAACTATTATTATTATTATGTCCATATTTGTATAAATGTCTCATTCGAAATATGAATTTATCTATGCATTTATTATTATGTCGGGTAATTTAATTAATACTTTGGGTAAATTATTCAAACAAGAATGAAAAAAATAATTATATTTGTAACAAAAAACTAAAACCATAATCAGATATTACTAGATGTAGATAATAATATCGAATATTGTATACTTTTGGGCACGAAATTATAATCATTCTTATAGGCTACAAATGAAGGATACAAAAGGCAAATAATAACTTATAGAACAAAATACATTGATATTGATATTTTTTTTAATGATTTGTAACGGACCAAATTTTTATGACTTTGGAGACAGTGTATTTTTGAATAAAATAAGAAGTCGTGGGTTCAAATAATAGATACTCTAGATTATTATTTTTAACAAATATCAAGTTGAACAATTATTCATATCAAGTTTTTTAGTAAATAAAATATTTAGGAACAGTGTTTTGTGATTATAGATAGTAAAAAGACTGACCTTCGTACGACGAGTTAGTTACGTTTGTAGGTGAGAAGTTGGGAAGGTACGATACATAGGGTAATTTAATTTATATCTATACGCAACGATTGCTAACCTATGCCAAATTTTCTACGTTTTTTCCCTGTTATTTGTTATTATTAGGAGAACTATATAGAAAATCTAACAACGACTAATCACAAACAAGAGAACATTTTTTTACAGAAAGTATGCTATTCTTGAAATTTAGACAAAGATTTCTGGTAGAAAATATAGTTTGTAAAAATAAAAATATTGAAATCAGTAACGCTACGGCGTGTCGTAAATATTTTGCCACTTTATCTTTAATTTTTTTCGGGTTTTTCCCAATTATTTTGAAAACCCTTTAAAAATCAAAAAATTACCTCAATATACCAACTAAAAAAATTGTATACAGAAAAAATATTACACTTGATACTTCGGAGCTAGATTTATAGTAGAAAAGTTGTTCATAGATAAAAAAAAAAAACACATAGTAAAACCAATACAATCTTTGCAACCTGTTTGGTTTTTTTGAATGAAAAATTGACGATAGAGCCGTGATTTGTTGTGATTTTAGACAAATTTTAGACAAGTATTGAGAATAAAATAAAAACCTATGAATGTTTTTTTATAGATTTGGAGAAAACATATTACATGACAGAATGCCGAGAGTAATTTTGATATAAGCGTTAATCTGAAAAGAGGAAAGGAGTTGCGAAATCGTATATTAATATGATATAGAGAACAAAATGATTTATTTACATAAAACTGAACTAACTTAAACATTTTAAATGGCTAGAAAATATAAATAACTTAAATATTTTACAACGTCTAGAAAGGGCTAATTTAAGTATTTAATTTTAAGTAAAAATGTCAGGATTCTAATATTATTTCTAACCGAATTGAACCTTACCTTTAACATTTTCATTATTTTTTTCCAATTATTAAGAAAACAATAATGAAAATCAAAAACCAATCTCCCACCGTATTAACTAGACAATATGTTCTAGTGTTCTACCGTAAATTACTCCTAAAGTTAATAATCGGAGTAAGATTTATCCGGTAGTAAAGTAGTTTACAGATCAATAAAAAAAAAACACAAATCATTGAAAAATTGGCAATACATAGTATAATATATTTTTTAATATAATCTATGTAACTGCGCAATATACTCATATCGGTGTTATATTTTATTCGATAATTTAATAATTATTCATCATTAAACTAAAATAATCAAAAAAAATAAATAAATCGACACCATTAATGAAAGCGTTTTTTTTCTGAAATTTCATGAAGGTGCTGGGTAACTGAACAAACAATCGTCTTCTTTAGCCGGGAAATAATCATAGAATGTTTGTTTGAAATGATTGCTCAGTCTACCGGTGTAATATTCGTTATTGGTGGTCGAATATATTTCTCTCGCGTTGTTAATCGCCATGTGTTTCATTTTTGTGGTGTACTGCGATTTGGTCTCCCTTAGCTGTAATTGTGAACATAATAACAATTCGTCAATTTAATTATCAACAAGTAATATACTTTAAATGAATATATTTGACATATTTTGTAATATAATCTAACAGTATCTTTACAATCATAGGTATACGGAGAACCTCGTATGAAAGTTTCAAAAATGTTTATATACCGTAAAAAAAAGACATCCTAGAATAATGGAAACAGGTGATAGATATAACAGTTATAGATAACTTAATGTATACCTGTAAGCAATGGTAAACCATTGCTTACGAATAAACGATTTTGAGTGAAATTCAGTTGATAGTGATGCATTGTCAACAATATAATATATGTCATTATATAGTAAAATAATTAAATAGGCTTTGTATATTTTCTTTAATAAAATTTGTTAAATATTGTACCGATTTTTCCAGTTTTCCTACGTTTTTCTTGGTTTTTCCATGTTTTATTCTGGTTTTTCAAATTTGATGAGAAAACTCCTAAGAAAATCGAAAATTTACCTCTCTAAAGTTCCTCACTAGTAAAATTTCCTTTTAGAAACATTGCTATCATAAAAATTTGGAGCAAAATTGCTGGTAGAAATGTGCACCAAAAAAAATAAAAAAGGCCTTAATATATTATGACTAATATCTATATTTTTTATATTTTCCCGTTTTTTTTTTCGGTTTTTCAAATTTGATGAGAAAACTCTTGAGAAAATCGAAAAATTGCCTTCTTAAAGTACTTACCCACGCTGATTTTTTTTCAGAAAAGGTACTACACGTAGAAACCCAAACAAGTCTTTTGTAAAAAAAGTTGCGCACAGATAAAAAAAAAAAAAAAAATTGAACATCTTTGTATAACCATAAGTTTCTTCGCTTCACCCAAAATCTAAAAGTAACTTATTTTAATACATCAACAAAACGAGTTTCATAAGACTTAGCTTAGTTTATAAATATGTTGTTATAATTTTGACAAGACGTGTTGTATAGGTAATTTGTTTTGGTCATAACCATACAATTGTAGCAAGATAAAAACATAACCATTTTTTTAGGTAGGTAAAATAGATTAGATTATAAAAAAATAAACATCTTTGCAAAACTATAAGCTTCTTCGCTCTACTCAGAATATAAAATTTAATCCACATAATATTATACAAATAATGTATGTATGTGAATTAAATTGTATTAGATTTATACATGGTGTAATTAAATAAGATGTGGATGTCTTCATACGCATGAGGTTTTAAAATAATACACCGGTTGCTATATGAACTTCATCGCCTTTCCTATAAGTATAACCCCGAGGAAAAAAGTTTCACATACAAATAAATATCGTTGTTAGGATATGTTTAAGTTGTAATTATATTATTAATTACAACTATAAAATGGGTTACAACTGTAATATTAACGATAGCTGATACTGAACCGAACCACTTTTCATTTGTTTTTTTACGATTTTCGTCAAAATCTGAACTTGCAAACATTTGTGAAAAATATTATGATCGCGAATTTTCGATAGTTTTTGGTCATGCTCATATGCAGACGCACACCCTATAAGACGAATAAATGTATGGTAAGGGTAATAATTTGCTGGGAAAGAAGCTGCTAATATGACTGCTTATCCCATCATAATACCGTCTATAAAAATACTTAAATATAAACTATCGAAAATAGTTTGTAGAAAATCTAATCTCTTTTACCAGTTTTTCTGTGCTATGCACTGAGTCCCAAGTGATTTTGTCATTTCGGTCTATTGGCATTATCGGCACTTTGACATTGGATATTTTGGGTCTATCGCACTTCCACACAGCCATTGATTTCTTAATCAGGCGATCTATATGCGTCGAACTTTTTGTAATATATATTTTGCTATTTTTTTTTACTAACCGTTGATTTTTGGGGTTAAGTGCCTGTCCACGTTTATGCGTTTCTCATACCATCTTCGCAATTTTTTCAATAACATAAGTTCCTGGAAACCGGCCACGGGATCACCGAGGACCGCCAAAAATTTCAATACCGCCTGTGCAAAGACGACAGAATAATGCACACTATATTAGGTGTGTATTCATATAAAAATAGGTAATCAACATTGTTATAACATTTTTTTTTTTTCATTTTCTAATACCATTTTTGTCAAATATTTCCTGAAAATAGAGACTATTACACTATATTATGTTTGTTATACGTCCGTAGTCTTAGTGGCACATATGTAACAAAATTCAATTAAACCTATTCAACAATTGTTTTAGTAATTTGTTGGACATAATTAGAAAGTTTTTACAATTTGTTGCACGATTGTTAAAAAGCTTTGAGGAATTATTTAAACGCACCGTTTAAGTTCACACTAACGACCAACTTTACGATGAAAACTTCAAAAACCACCCAGTTATTGAACTGTTTAATAAAATTGTTTGGACATTGTTGAAGAAGTCTCACTGTTTGTTGGATCTCGGTTTATTTTATATACGAATTTTTTAAAAAGTACAGCTAACGTTAAATGAGTCGGTGACCAACTTTTTTTTTACATTCTTTAATTTATTAAAAATAAACAAAATTGAATAAATTAGTATAAATTTAATTGTTTATTGTTTTATATATAACATTGCGTGTGTATGTGGTACTATAAAAATTGTGTTACTAACTCTTTTAACTTGGCGACTTAGGTTGTCGTGCTGTTCCCATATTCCACTTAATCTTCTTACGTAGCTCAGATAGTTTCCTATTCTATTTAGTCCACCTGTTTTTTAAAGGCGTCTCTTAATTTTCAATTTTGAAATATTTTTGCCCTCACCCCTATATATGTTTGTTTATGTATAAAAATGAACTACAGATAATATTAGGTTAATTAAATAAAGTTAATCCGTGCCGACATGAATTTGAAGTTTTAACTCTATACATTTTTCATTATTTATGAAAATTGTCAACATATCCGTAAATATTTTCTTAACTGTTAGAAATATCAACTTATATCATCTTAAATAGTTTAAATTGAATTAAATTTTCTATAACTTTACAGAAATAATTTTTTTCATATCTCATATCGTTAATGAAATATTCTATTGACTTAATTGTAAAAAAACACAATATTCTGAGTAAATAGTAACACATGGTTACGGTGTTTATAATATTACATAAATCCATTTAAAATTATATGTATATCTTATAAAACACATTTTTATCATTAAAAAAAAATATACTTAAATACTTCGAAAGTAGCTTGTTGAACATACTAACTTCTATACTGGATTCCATATACTTAACTGATACCTATCTAAAGCTCCGAACAGTTTAGGTATGATAAAATTAATTTTTCTCCGACATTTCTTTTTTCTAAGGGGGCCTGTATGTCGAGTGGAATACTTGTCTCTAATAGTGTTAATAATTTACAATTTTCCGTAGTTTTATTTTCTGAGGTATTGCTAAATTGTCAAAAGTTTAATGGCAAAGTTGAGGGACGATTTTTATTATAATTATGTTTTCTTTTTGATTTATTCAACTTTCGTTTAATTTTTTTTTTTTTTTTTATTATTCTTGTAATGGCTATACCTTCGAGACATCCAGGACACACGGGTAAACGTTGGTTCATTAAAAACTGTCTATCAACATCAGTTTTTATCAATGTTAACACTTCGGAATGGGTAATAATTTAATTAATGTTTTTTAGAGATTACATCATTCATTATATAAATTAATTAATTAATCAATACAACGTTGAACTGCTAAAATGGAATTCATGTTTTTCTTAATAGATGTAAAATTCGCGCACGATAAACCATTGCTAATGAAAAATCGATTTTGAGCGGAGTTCAGCTGGTACTGATGCTTTGTTAAATATGTATAGTATAAAATATATCATATTATAGTCAAATAATTAATTTAGGCATTACGTATTTTCCTTAAAAATATTTGTTTCATATTGCACTAATTTTCCCGTTTTCCAATATTTTTCCCGGACTTTCACATGAGCTGAGAAAACTCTTGGGAAAATAGAATAATGACCCCTTTAGATTAACTCTCCAGTCAAATTTCCTTTAAGAAAAAATGCTATCATTGTAAATCGGAGCAAAATTGCTGGTAGAAAAGTTCGCACAACAATTCGAGGGGTATTTTGTGGTTAAAAAAGTCCGAGCAATGGCATGATGTCTAGTTAGACTCAAAATGAATTTATTTTTCCTTATTTAGGTTAAAGGGGGAAAAAAATGCAAACAGTTTATTTCGAAACTTGGGTTTGAATTCGTGATGCCTGGGATACCAATGTATTACGATTATACTAAAACAAACATATTTTATGTTTGACAATATATATAGTTATTTAATATAACATGTAATATCCACATAATATTAGAACTTCAAAAAACTATAATTTTGAAACTATGTCAGTCTGCTAAATTCTTACTTCACTATCGTTTTTAAATCGGCAATATGCATATGTTCAAAACAAAAAATTAAAAAATTAGATTTGTTCCAATTGTTTACCCGAAAGAGTTTCATCAAAATTAGATAATAATATTCCTTTATAAAAAGAATTACTTACTACATTAAATTGAAATGTTTTTTTTTTGTTTCCACAAAGTAAGACTTTTAATAACCTCCTGTTAAATTTTCACGCATTTCTGTTTAGTCTAACAATTTTTCACACATTACCTACTAAATAAAAATTACGTATAAAACTTATACAATGAAAATGTCTATAAATAGCTTAAAAATTGCGTCCTAGGATAATGAGGACGAGTGCAGCCACTGTTATAGAAAACTTAATGTATATCTGTAAGCAATGATATAAACCATTGCTTACGAAAAACCGATTCTTAGCGAAGTTCAGTTGATAGCGGTGATTTGTTAACAATATATTATGTCATATTGCAGTAAAATAATTAAATAGACTCTATATATTTTCGTGAGGAAATTTGACTCTAGTAATGGAGTTCTGCTGCTCACGGGTGTTTTTTTTAACAATAAATTAATACACGAGTATTACATATCTAATTAATATAGTTTAGCAGTAGATAGAATCATATACAAACAGAATAGCATCATAATGGTTTTTTAGAATTTCGAGTTATCTTACTTTTAATTGTTTCCACGGTGGAAGTTTACGGAGTTCAGCGAGTACTTGTTCTATCGTTTCGCCCTGAAAACATTACGTCGACATGATTATACATGAATTATCTTAATATTGTTATTATTTAAAACATAAACCAATATTTAATGGATAATGCGCGTAGAAAATTTTAACGAACATTTGTGTACTCAAAAATAATATTTAATAAAGTAAATAATAAAGTAGTAAATTATAAATTTAAGACCGGTCTCGGTGTATCAGTGAATATTGACTCCGTGATAATCCGGATACAATTTCATTAGTGATCATTAGGTCCCGGATTTTTATGTAAAAATTATTGTTAAATATGCACATATTTATGTACTAAAAAAATAAAAAATATGTAAAAAAATGTTTTATTGTGTGGTAAAAAAACGAAACATTTATAAAAAAAAATACAATTTAAATATCAGTATTTAAAATGCGCATATAGCGTAAAATATAGCGTTTTAATATATCGTCCGTGTTTTTATAAAATAATGAAATCGTGAAATTGTATGTTTTCCCACGTTTTTTCTCATTTAAATGTTTTTCTTAAAAAATGATGTCGAAAATCAAAAAATGACATGTTTAAAATACAATCTAGATAACTTGAACTTTCATAAAAGATGCTACACTTATACATCGGAGCAAGTTTACTAGGAAAAACCGTGTCCACTGACTAGAAGAAAAGAGAAGAAGAAAGATTTAAATAGCATTGTAAAACCAATAGCTCTCTCGTTATGCTCAGAATCTAAAATAGAGTATAAGAGCCAATATTATCAAACAAATTTATTCAAATTGCACTTAAATAATTGTCAAAAGCTAATTAACAATGCATATTCATATTAAGGACGTATAAACAAACACAAATTATTAAATGAAAAAATTTCCAATTTTAAAAGAAAAAAAAAAAATCTATAGAAATGTAATTTTGACTTCTAAAAACTATAAATTGTGTCGTTTAAATTTTTTTTCTATGTCAACATCGTTATATCATTTACTTTCTAAGTTTTGAGTCCAGATAATATATTATATTACCTATAGGTAAGTATTATATTGACTATGAATATATCACTAGGTATTTAAAATTAAGATTCGCTGTGTACCTACGCATTTCTGTAGTATGTCGTTCCACTTAAACAACCACTGTTTGTTAATAGTCATTGCAACAAATAAATTAGCATATTAAATGTTATAATACACGGTTTTTTAACCCACGGTTTTCATGTTCATAAATGCTCAACCCCAAAGTTGACATCTGTAACGTTGTCGTAAACACCGGCGGAGTGGAAAATATTGTTCAAAACAAGTAGTTTTTTTACCGTTTAAAATTGAGAGTGTGGAGTTTCGAAAATATTCGTACCGGACAGGTTTGGCAAATAGGCAACTGCAGTTGTTATCTTATAGGTCAGTTAAGTTGGTAAAGAATAAAATATAGGGTACGTAGGCTAGGATAAATCGTTGTGATCAATCTAATCTCATACTTACAGCATTGAGGTCATTATCGTTCAAATTATAATCAGCGTTGAGGTTATTATCAGCGTACATCGGGTCTTCTGGATCTGGTTCGTTGTTACCACGGTTTTCTTCCAACGGGAACCCGTACACGGATGACTTCTTGTCGATCGGCTCACCAGTTTTTTTTTCACCCCGAACACCGTCATCGCCGAAGTCCTCGATTTCACTATTATCTTCGTCATCCGGTGGCAGCGTTGATGCCGGTGGCGTTCGAGGAAATGCCACCATCATCGAGGTAATCTCAAACTCGTTTTGGCAGAAGCCGTCAACCGTTACATCTGTCACAACCGTCTCGGCCGAATAGCGATCCGCTTGCAGTGATCGTGGTCTTCGGGCATTTTCCTCCAGGGTCAGCCGGCGGCCGGAAAGTGATTTAGCACCGCGGTGTTTCTCAAACATCTGCCATATCGTCTTCTCTGGGCCGTTCATAACTGGCCGCATCTCTTTTTGATAGGATACCGGTTTCGGCTTTTCGGTAGTAACCGGCTCATCGTTTTCCTCGTTCCTACAATTTTTTTTTTAAAAAAAAGCTGATAATGCCAACGGTTGTGCAACTAATGTGGACGGAAAGTTAGAAAGGTAGGATGAAAAGGAAGGTAGGGCTAGGTATTTAGTTTGTATTTGTATGCAACGATAAATAATTACTAACAAAAAACGATTCTGGACAAATTTCGGTTAAACATAACGGGAGGGGAATGCCAATATAGTTCAAGTAATTAAAATCGCAAGAAACGATTCATAAAAACAGTTTAAGGATAAGGCATACGAAAGGTCATATCTAGGGGGGTTTAGGGTTTAGACCACCCACTGAAATGTTTTCTTAAAATAAAATGTAATGATTTTAAATGCCTATTATATTTAAAACTTGTACTTTGTACATTTGTTACAACATTTTTAATTTTGAAATTATATTGGAACAATCCATAGCATTTATAAATTGTTTAAATCGTCAGCTTAGCGTACACATATATTAAAACAAAATATTCTTAATTATATACCAAAAACCAATAAAACTACCTTAATTTCAATGTGTGGAACGAGGTAGGCTAAAAATCATGATGCACTCCTAAAGATTCATTGAAATTGATTGTCTAGTTTTACACACGTTAGATAAGTTGAGAAATCATCATAATAGTGATACTTCAACTAAATCTTCACAATTACTTAATGTTATTATAAAAGCTAGTTTGTTATTAGCTTAAAAGTAGCTGATGATTTATTTTCTCTGTTTTTGCCCCTTTTTCAAAGATTTACAAATTGCGATCTTTATGAGACATGATGCGAACATATCGAAAATATATCCTAAATTCGAATAAAAAAGTGAGAAATCGCCAATTCAGAGTTTTCAATTTTATTTAATAAATCTAAAAATATATTAAAATCAGTTAATAATGGAATAGATATGTCAAGAATTAATTCTCGTAAAACGCTTTTACTAACGAATTCGAATTTCAATGTATCTTTATTAGATGCCATTTTACAACAACTAAATTAATGATTTAATAACTAAGAAGAATTAATAACAAGCCTGCAAAACGTTATTCCTAAATTTTGCGTTAACAAATAATATAAAAATATTAAACCTTGTGTTGGTTTTTATATTTATTTTAATTTTTTTTATTTAAGTAATATATTTAATTTGTATATGTACTTAAGTATAATAAATTATAATTAAAAGTAGAAATAATATAGTTACTGAAATTTCAAAAAAAATGTGTGTTCATAATTTAAATAATATTTTCGTAATTTCATAATCTATTAAATGATAAAACATATTTATACTCTAACCTACCCCCCTCCTAAAAACAAAAATTATTTTGCTGGCTACGGACTTGGGCATACGCAAGAGAATCTTGAAGAGATCATTTATTGTAGCCCAATCTATGGATTGAATACTCAAAAACAAAAAAAGCAACCTAACCTGACTTACGCGTTCATATTACAATATATTAAAAAAAAAGTAAACTCATCGTACACTGTAACTAAATGAATTAAATAAACCAAACGAATTTTGTCTACAAAACATAGTTAAAAAATCAAATAATTCAAATATGTTTTCTCATTTGGACGGCCGTTAAAAAGATAATAGATAATTTTTAAATTTTACAAAAATTGATGAACATAATAAGGATAGAGATGTTCAGCCCCCTAAATGATAAATAAATAATAATAATTATATAACCTCCCCCCCCCCCGAACAACAGAACGGCCCTGCGCGTCCAACTTCGTACCATTCGTTCATCGTTGTCAAGTGATTGCAATCGTGTTGCAGGACGTTGTTAGAACTTTTGATGAGACTGTCCAAGTCGATCACCGCTTGCGGTTTGTTCGCGTTCTCTACCGGCAGCGATTCGGCGCTCGACCCTAACGACATCCGCGACCCCCCTTGGTCGGTTTTCAGCCAACCATAGGGTTTCTCTCCGTATTTGTCTTTTTCGTCACTGCGGCCACCGCCGTCCGGCGATACCCGTTCACTGGAGTGCACAGCCATTGGCGAAGGCTGTACGACCGAGTACCGCGGCGCTGTTGGATTCCCGCCTCTGTCATGTACCGTATTTACATCTAACGTGACCATCTTTGTGGATGGCAACTGGCCACCATCGTCAGCACCGGGTCTGATTGCGTTGCGATCCCCACCCGTCAACGTTTTCTTGTTCCTGGCCGCCTTTTTTTCTAGGTTAGACATTTTTTATTTAATTTTTTTTTCCTATAAAGATTCATTTTTCCAGCTGATAACTAACGAACCAATGCAATCTTATATTACATAGTATAACAAAAGTGTAAAAAAAAAATGTTTGCTTTTAAATGCCAAAAATCAGTACATAATCCAAAAAATTAATTACCTATAGGAATTACTTTCGGTTTCAAGGCTTCATGGATCACGGTTTTTCACGAATATAAGAAAACAATTGTTTGATAAAACAAGGCTTAGAGTGTATTTTAGTTTAAATTTTTGTAACTACTCAGTTTCGGTGTGTTACCATCTTCGAGTTACTGATAACATTGTTTATGGTGTAATTACATATGAATAAAAAGATAAACATATACATTTAAATTAAAAATAATTTAAAAAACGAATTATCGTTCGTTCGGTTTTTTTTGAATATTTAAGGGCCTGTGTATGATTTGTTTTTTTGATCAAAACATGCTTCACAGGAAAAATTTGCATGCCTCGTAGAGTGATTGGAATACGATAATTGTAATTGTAAAAATACACATAAATTATTTATTCGGTTTTAACCATTCTAGTAAAAGATACTTTTAAAAAGTATTCAAGTACAGACACAGATACATATTTTAAAAGTATTTAAAATAATTACATTAAAACAAATGTATTTTTAGCAGCGTGTTTTTGTCGATGTTTTATTTTCTATCAAATCTTACAACTTGAACAACAATGTAATGTACTATAAAGTTATTGGTAATTTTGTAAATATGGCATATGTAGCTATAAAGATTGTAGACACACACAGACACGCATACATAGACATAGTCTGCAATAGTCAATAGTCAATTATCTGAATACTTTAACTCGAGTATTTTATAAGTTTTAACTCGCACCCAAATCTCATTAATATATGAAACCCGGTTTCAACCTGATATCTGCCCTAATTTCTGCTTGAGAGCCATCAATATATAAAATTTATAACTCGGCAAAAGAAAAAATTAATTCTCCATTAAAAAAAATAAATATATTTTAAACATTTAAACTCTAATCCAAAATCCAATTTTAAGCACATTGTAAGAAGCTTTTCTTTCTGAAATAAAATGTGTTCGAAATTTGATTACTCTATGAGACATGAGAGTTTTACTGTCAATCATGTTAAGCATATTTTGAACTTTGAAAAAACAAAATAAGAGGGTAATGGTATCCAAATAAAAAATTACCATAAAAAAAAATTGACATTTTGAATATTTTATCTGGCCATTTTGTATGGCTATTTTAGATTTTACCGAACAAAGCCTTGATTTTATCGCAAAAAAAACGAAAAAAAATTTTAATTTAATCTTTCGATTATACATTATAGACACATAAGTACCTGCAGTGGTAACGCTCATATCATTTTTCTGTTGTGCTGTTTCTTCTTTGAACTTTTCTATTATCGGCGGATTATAAAACAACTTTTTCAGTGGGTGTTTTGGATACGTGATTCCCATTCTCAGTATCGTTTTCTTTTCAACGTCCATCTTTGCGTAAAACAATGTGTAAATAATATTATTTAACGTAGCATCACTGTGTAAAATAAAAAATTAGGCACAGTTAAATATTATTTACCAACCTGCATTTGATGTTGTAACTGTGCGTTTACATTTTTCTTAACTTTACGCGCCCTCTGTAATTTTACATTTACGTTATGCCATTTGATTTCCTGAATTTCGGACCACGGGGTGGGTAATGGTATTGGTTCCATATAGGGTGACACATAGCTTTTATCGGCCGGTTTTCGTTTTTCAAAAGTTTTGTATACGACTGGTTTCGAAATTAAATTTAAATTATAATATAATTGTACCTGATATATTTTATCAAAATTTCGAAAAAAAAAATGTATCTTACATAAAATTTTTATTAAATAATTTAAAAATTCAAAACAAAATGTATTTTACTATAAGCATTAAAAAAAAAAAAACAAAATTAAATTAACTTTTTTTTTGCATTTAAAATTATTGGTTTATGAATTGAGTACTTAAAAATCATACTATGAAAGAAGAAATTTTCACTACAAAGGTGATGCATTAAACTAAGAGAGAGAGAGAGAGAGAGAGCTCTAATTAAAACCTTGGTGTGGAACGTGTCGTTGAATGGAGTTGAAATGTGAACATTTATTAAGATATATTCAGAAAGTTAAACCTTAAATTTTTGGAATGTAGTGAAGGAGAATAGTTTTTGTGAGACAGACATTTTAGAAGTTAACATGGAGCAAACTCAGAGAAAGAAGAAAGAAATTAATTAGATATTGTATAAGAAATAACGTAAAGGTAATGCCAGTACCGTAATCGGAAAATACAAGCTAGAACACTTATCACCTTTTATTTATGACTCCCTTATTCCCTTGTCACTTTTTATTTATACCCTCTTAGTTTTACAGCGCAAAGCATTTAATATAAATAATTACAGAAAGGGGACATGTATTTAAAACCAAATTTTACAGAAGGCAAAAAAATCTCTTTAGGCAAGACTGATAAGGAGCAACGCGGAAAAATGAATAAATCACGTTATTATCACATTTTAAATTTTGAGTGGAGCGAAGAAGCTTATGTTGATTTTACAAAGACGTTGACAACTTTTCTACCAGAGATCTTGTTCCAATTTCAAGTGTTGCACCTTTTCTGAAAGAAAATCAGTCTGAGGAGGTACTTTAGGGAGGTTATATTTCGATTTTCTTAGGAGTTTTCCCAGAAAATGTGAAAAACCGGGAAAAATGAAGGAAAATCGATGTATATCGAAAATATATAAAGCCTATTTAATCATTTTACTATAATATAACATACATACGCGGGTTATTCAAAAAGTATCGAGACTGGTAGTATCACTAGGAAACTGAGCATCGAAGAGCAATAGGATTGGTATCATTTGCTTCTATGACTTTTTCTGACTACATTTGTTTTTATTGATTCTCTATAAACTTTTTCGGTTTGATTTCATCGATATTTTTGTAAAATATATTTTTTGAGTTTGGCGATTTTATAATGATTCTAAAAGAAGAGAAACTTAACAGTTTTGGAGATTTAAGAATATTTATCTGCATTTTTTTCTGTTTCAAAGGGATGCGAAATTTCATGATTTATGCCAATAAATTTTAATTTAAAACTGCAGATGCAGGAAGTTTCACTTATTTTGTATTCACAAAATCTCCAAACGTGAAAAATACATATAAGAAAAATATCGTCGAATCAAAAAGAAGAAGTTTATAGAGATTCTACAGAAATAAATGTATTCAGTAGAAATCATAGAAGCAAAGGTTAAAAATTAATTTGCACTTCAATGATCGGTTACCGACTAATATTATGAGTCTCGATACCCACGTATTGTTGACAAAGCATCATTATCTACTGGACTCAATTCAGAATTGTTTTTTCGTTAACAATGGTTTATCGTTGTTTAGAGGTATACTTTAAACTACCTATAACAGTGTACCCATCCCCCTTATTTTCACGCAAAATATGTATTCAAGGTAAATAACTATAAATCCGGTAATAACTAAATTTCGTCAGAAATTGAATGTGTTCCCTTTCTGCAATTATTGATTCATATATGATAATGATAGTACTACTAATTAATTAATTAATATGATGAATTAATGTAAATTGTACTATAACATTACGAAAAAACAAAATAGATTTTAGAGGAGCAGGTACACCCCCTTGCTACGGTTCTGGGTAGCGGTAATAATTGATAATGATCGGCCTTTTTATTAATGGAAGAATTGACGAAAAAATAGTTAGTGGAAGATTAAGTACACCATTCATAAAGTAAGTGTTAGAAGACACCAAGTCCAGAAAAAATAAATACACAAAGCTTAAAATAACTAAGAATGACAGGGATATAGACGAAGAAAAACATTAATTATTTAATCAATCCTATAAGAATGAAAAAAAGAATTTAAGTGTTCCAGGTCTGTGTATTTCTAAACCACGATATAGAATAGCTGTTCTTACGGGGTTTATCGGGAATTCGTGGCGATAAACAATAATCCAGTTTTTTCAAAAGCCGTGGAAATTCCATGTGCAGAATACTAGACATCAAAATTCGTTGTTCAGGCGTGTACGATTTACACATACGTTCATCTGAAACGATTTAGTTTAATACAATTACATAATAGTATATGCAATGTACTAATCAGAGGCGTGTCCAATATTTTTTTTTTGGAGATGGTTTTAATTTTTTAACGTTACTATCGAATTCACAATTACATCATTAAAATAAGTAGGTTAAAACCTATATAAGTGTTTTAAAATATGTTTTTAAACATATTTTAAAAGTTAACCATATTAAATTATATCTGTATATAATAAAATTAGTATCTATAAAGAAGTGTAAAAACTAATAATAATAAAAAATAAAAAAACATTTTTAGAAACTAATGTTTTTAAATAATTATCTTCATAGTTCATAGTTCATCATAGTAAGTTAAAAAAAATTATAAAATGAAGTACATCCTGTTTGAAGATGAAGCAAATTTTGAAACTACTTTATCTGGGTCTACTTGTGTTTGTGTACATTTTTTTTTAAATTTAAGTTCACTGAACTTAAGCCCCGAAAACAAGTGCAAATTCTTGGAACATTTCCAACGTAATTTTAATGGCGGTAATTTTACATACATCACTGATGGCTAAGTTTAATAAATGTGCACTACAATGCATGTATAAGGGTCTTGGATCTAAATCAGAGCCACTTAAATCTGAGACAACTAAACAATTTTAAAATATTCCTGAATTGAAGAAACTTCGATGTCATGATCGATAAATTTTGTCTTGCAATATTGGTCATTTCATTAGCCATAACAGAAAAAAAACTCACACAGTTTATTTTATTTATTATTTGTTTAATGATTACTTGACTGCAATGTAATAAATTATGTTTCAATCAGCATATTTTATGTTTTTGCACTTGTATATTGAGTATTTGCTGCCCCTATTTCCAAATGATATTTTTTAAATTTTATCGCTGGAATTTGCTCTAAATTTTATAAGGGTGCTAACTAAAATTTCCTTCAGATATATTTTCCTCAGTTCCCTAGTTGTTGGTTCTAAACGACCACATAGAATAATTGTTTTTTCTATCGAACATAGCTTAGATCGATTTTGAACCTAAATAATATTCTTTATTATTTATTAAGTTTATTCTCGAATAAACTTTTCGCATCAATAATACCAATTAGTATATGTTCAATAAATGAAAATGAACTTAAACATTTAGCTGCCTCTTTAGTAAATAATTATGAAAATGATTTAACAATAGATATGGTTAACCAACTTAAATGTTAATTTGAAAAATTAAATAACGTTCTTAAAAGCAATCTTGTAGATTAGGTAGCTTACCTAAGATGGTTGAATAGAAAATAAAAACCTCACTTTTAACCGCCGGTGTGCTTTACGATCACATACGCGCTTTTAAATAAAAATACAATGGACATTTCACTTGAGGAAAAAAAAATATTACCTAGCCAAACAACATGAAATATAGTATTGATATATACGGTATGTACCAATACCGTACCAAACTTAACCATATGTCCCGCTTTCGACGGGACAGGCGGACTTTTAAGTTATGTGTCCCACTGTCCTCAAAAACGCAAAATTGCCATGCTTTTTTTTAAAAAAAAGTGACTGTGGAAATGCATTTTATCGAAAAAAGGACATGTGTTCATTGATCGCAGCACAAAAAACATGGTTGTTGAAATATAAAACCCAATACAATTTTTAAAATTGTACAGTTAGAGCCATTATATTAATTTGTCTTAAGTGGGTTGCTTATGGGGCATTGCAATTTCAAAGATTAATTATAAATATGATACAAATATGTCGACCAATACTATGTAATATTAAAAAATCTGCGCAATTCAATTTTAATAAAAATTTACATCAATATATGAAAAATTATAAGAACCATGGTTACTGTATGTGATTCGATAGCCAAATAAAAAACCCACTCATCACGGGTATGCTTATACAAAAAATATATAAAACCTCTTGCTTACAAACTAAACTATTCAAAAGCAATTAGCTCTATTTTCTTTTCTAATTTTTAATAAATAAAAATAATGCAATATCATGTTTATTAATATATTCAATATACAATTAATGTATTTATATATTTTTTTTATTAGAAGTAAAGGCATCAACAACTTTGGTAATTAGCCTACTAAAATTAAATAAATAAATATAATATATAACAGTTAAGGTAGATGAGGTATGAAAATCTGTACATACTTGTAAGGTATTGATGTGTTACAGTTTTTTGAAGATATTATTTATTTTACGAAAAAAAGGACAGATGGCTTTGGTGTTGTCTTTTTGAGGGATTGATGAATTGAAGTAGGGTTTTTGAGGTTCCTGCGAGATTTTGAGAATTTAGGACGATCGATCATTAATGGTGGATTGAAAGGTTGACTCTGCATGTTTTACACATAGGTTTCGGTTCTTTGTTGATTAAGTAGGAGCGAGTTAAATGAGTATATCCTATTCTCACTCGGGTAATAACTACTTCTTCTCTTCTTGAAATGCCTGAGGGGATTTTCCATTTTTGGACATGTGGTTATATGTTTCTGAGTTTATTTGAAAGAGGTACATTAATCCAATTGTTCTGCCAACTGTCCATTATTTTATTTTTAATGTTTTTAATTGCATCAGATGTGGTGATTTTATTGATTTTAAGGAGGACTGGGATATTGTTGCTTCGTTGGCCTTAGAATCTGATTTTTCGTTCGTAGGAATTACATGTGATGGAATCCACATAAATGAGATTATTTTGTTCGTTGTAGATAGAACTCTTTGGATTAGATGCAGAATTTTGTTCTTTTGATAGGGTTTTAAAATTAATGTGATAGCACTAAAAGAGTCACTAATGACGATAAAAGTATACAAATTTAAAGAAAAGTCAATTTTAACTTAATTTTAGATGACCGATCCGTAATCGATTAAGGAAAGGAAAATTGCCTAGTACTTTAATTATCCTTATTCTTGTCAAGAATTCAGTTTTAAGTTTCTTCAAATGAGGTTGCCATGATGGTTTGTTATCAAAGATGAGATCTAGAATAAAATTGAAAACTAAAATAAAAACTCATAAAATTGATTACTGATTGCTGAATGTTCTTATTTTTGTTGAAAATTAGACATTGAGTTTTGGAAAAGGAAAAAGAGAATCCTGTTTTTGAAAACCAGTAAGAAAGAAAATCAAGTGCTTGTTGTAAAAACTGTGTCGTTGTTTTGATTTGTGAGCCGTTGTAGTTAGTTACTACGTTCTAAATATTTTGAAATATGTTTACTGTTTTATTATTTTGAATAATAATCATAATTACCGTGCATTTCTTATTGAAAAGTACATTCGTTCCGCTCTACGGGAAAAAAATCATGTTCTCGTTAAATAAATACCTCAAATTCAGCTACGATATTATAACATCATGCTATATTATTATGAACATTGACTTCAAAACTTTTGATTTTTAAAAAAGGAACCAGTTAGCTGTTGAAGGTTAGGTTATATCTACTACTACTATGTTATATATTATATTATGGTTCTATTAAATCGATGATCGGCTACAGGAAATAGTTACCTGTTCCAGCACAGGTTTGTCCGCTTTTATGCATCACGTAGTTTTTGATGGTTGTTAAAAACGGTACTGGATAAAGTCGGCTATCATACAGCGCTTTCATCGCCAAGACGTGCGGAATGAACATGCGTACGCCGAGGTTCTTGAGCGCCCGTCTGGTGCTTTTTGTCGTGCCAAGATCCATATCGTCTTTCATGTTACTCCCAATTTGGCTCAATATTTCCTCCTGTATTCCCCCCCCCAAAAAAAAAAATCATAAATAATTAAATATGTCATCTTTAAATCCATAAGTATGTCTGTAAAAAAAAAATCGCGGTATTACGCTCAAATTTTTTTCTTAAGGGTATTATCATCTTTTGATCATACCTTGTATCAATTTGTCAAACATTAATTCTACTAAGATGTTTACGTTACTAAAATGAAAATGTATGATAAAGTATCTAGTTGGAGTGTTTTAAAAAATAAAACATCAATGACTCCCTCATCACACCGAATAAATTCAAAACGCTATAAGAAAGCTTCTCTAACGGTTACAATTTCACTGACTTGTCCACAACACCTCTCGTACGTCATTTCGCATTTTGCTTACCTAGGTATAAAATTGGAGCATGAAATACAAGCGTACCTATGTGTGTATAATAAATTAGTAGAGTCGGAACCATAATCAAATTCAAACAACAACCAGGTCTTAATAATATTGTCATGTGTGTAATTCTAATATTTTTATTATAATTTATTTTTTAATATTAATCGCCACACACCACTTGTACTCGTATTATACTTACTAGTATTATACTTGTATTAGTATTGCTATAACCGTCCTAGGAGATCAGAGTTATCCAGGTAATATATATTTATATTATTCTAATAACTAAGTTTTACCGTTGTTAAATTATGTTTGATTATTTTGCTAAGTGACGAACGCAGGTCTTATGTTCTTTTTACATGTAAAATATAACCTAATGACCTTAACTCATATCAGTTCAACGACACTTGGTCAAAAAAGCCGTTTAGTATAGTAAGAATAGCTAACCAACTGTTCCGACTAAGTGGATAAGATAAGTTATAATCATTGTGTTTCGGAAATCAAGGAGACGTGTTACATTCCTATGAAGTTTTCGATTGGAGTAGGTATTCTAGTAGGAAACTTGTTTATAAATAGAAAAAAAAAATGGATTAGAATGGAAAAGATGGATTAGTGAAATTTTTCGTTACAAACAAGAATATCTGCAATAGTGTATTGTATATTATTATTATTATTATAATATGTTTCTTAATATTACAAGAGTTCGTCAATATATTTTGTTCGGTTTTTATTGAAATTTATAAATTATGTAAGCCAAAAATAATAATAATAATAATAATAATTTTTAAAATTAAACTTTAAAGCAAAACCTTTCGTCCTTTCGGTTTGTATTATTCAAGACGGCGAAAATAATTATCATGTTGCGCATTTGTTGTGTGAATTAGGAAAAAAAAAAAAAAGAAAAAAAGAAGAATATAACAATTCGAATCGTATAATTTTAAATATGCCAACAATAGTTGACGTCACTTTTTAATTCTGCCCGAGGGGTTGGAAACCGTTAGCGTAAAAAAGTTTTTGTTTCGTTTTAATTGTCACCGAGTGTTTTAACGAAAACAATAAATAAAATAAAAACCAGTAAATCTCTTTTTTGTTTAATACAAATTACTGGGCATTACTTTAATACTAGTAGAAGGGTCTATCTACTTTAACACTGATTACTATAATAAATTATAATTTATAACCATCAAAATAAAAAGGCAAGTACCCCAATTTTAAATCTCTTTGAACGGGGAAGTTGTACTATTCCGTCATAATGTTCAAATGTCGATAACGACATTTTACTCTTTTTTATTTTTCATTAGTTATATTTATTTGTTAATTGTTATAAGTATTTATGTATACAGTGCTTTAATAAGATTCTTTAAAAAAGTATCTAGATATAAATACAAGTATCTTAAGATACACTTAAGAAAGCAGATAAATTTATTCGTAAATACTCAATTCATTAAAAATACAAAATTGTAAAATTATAATAAAATAAGTAATGGGTACATAATTTTAGGTACAATCATTTTTATCTACATTTGTATAGCAGTTTTCAAGTATAAATGTATTCTTATATAGTTACTTATTGACCCGGAAATGCTTTGCTATTGCTAGATAACAGTGTAAATAATATTATTAATAAAAATAATAGTTTTCTTATCCGTAACAACTAAATTGTCATCCATGTCACCTAGGTAACTCATGAATAAACAAAAATAAATAAATGAACAATTGGATAGTACTAAAAATAATTAAAAAGCCATAATTTACTCTCTTTCATAACCGATGTCTACGTCATAATAGCTTTATATATGCCAAATTTCAGCCCGTCCTGTCCAGTAGTTTGAGAGTTTGAGCTAAGTGATGATAATTCAGCCAGTTATTGAGGACATGTTAATTTATATGTATAGAATCATTTATACATACATTTATATGTAACGAATTACAGAGTTAGCTAAATAAAATTAATAGATAAAATTATGATTATATGTTATTACCGTAGATGCCCGCAGAGCACAGGAATTATACCACAAAAATTAATAACAATGTTTTCTTTTTCATACAAGTTAACAAGCTAACCAATAAATCATCAAAAAATAATTCGATTTCTACATTAAAAATACATAAAAACAGAATTATATAGTCATTGACAGTTATAATATATATTGTAATATTGGTTAATTATAGATAGATATAATGAGTATTATCTATTTGTCAATACACTCATATATGATAATTTATAATTATAATAATAATAAGAAGTTAGAAAAAAATATATATATCAACAAAAAGTTGTTAACATTTTTATTCAAACAAAATTAGATTTTAGAATTTTACGTTTTATTTTTGTATTTTATTTATTTATTTATTTATTTATTTATTTATTTATTAATATGGACAAAAGTCCAATTCACAATATATTTGTATAGATAACAATAAAATATAACTTATATAAATTATAAATTTATATAATTTAAAATAATAAAATATAAGATAATACAAAATGAAAAGATTAATATATCAAATAATAGTAATAATAATAATGATAATGATAATAATAATAATAAAAATACATTCAATGTTATTGAACCAATAAAGTAAGAATTGTACACAATATTTTGTATCGAAGATACAGATACAGATACATATTTTTAGAAAGTATCTAGATACAGATACAACGTATAAAAAGTATCTAGATAATGTTACTTACTATCTTGGGTACACATATTTGGATATATAACAGCACTGTATATATAATATGATACAATGTATAAAAAGTATCTAGATACTGTTTCTTGCAATCTAAAAACAGTGGTTCTCCCGGTTCCAAATTTTAAAATATTTTTCCACCGTGATAATCCATATTTTCTTTGAGATCCACTTCCTTGGAGTTTCAGTTGAATTTTTTGCATTAATTGTTTCGTTTTTAAATTTCATTCAGTGGAAATTTTAATTTTATTAGGTGACAAAAATGTCGCAAAGTGAAACATTCTTGTTACATAGTAGATCATATTTTGTAAAACTGCGTGACATCAGTTTTTTATTAATTTTATCATGACTAACAAATTATATGAGGAGAAGAAATAAAACTGGTATCTCAAAATAACTCCAGGCTAGTTGTCTAATATTTTCCAAAAAAAAAAAAAAAAAAAAAATTGTATACTAAATCCCTTGATAAATAATTGCAGAAAAACAATTTTAAGCGATGTCTGTACACACATGTTAAGCAAAACCGTAATTTTTACGATATTCGTCAAACATTGAAAAAAAATTAATAAAGAAACTTCGCACTATGGGTGGGCCATTGTTGTATTTGAAAAGTTGAGAAGGTAGGATACAGAGAAGAATTTAATGTATCTTTTGTATGCAACGATTAATCATTGCTAACGAAAAACGATTCTAAGTGGAATTCGGTTATACATATTTCGGTATTACATGTTTTAAAAGGCTAAAATATTTACGATTCTTGTCAAAATTTGATCTTAAAATTCTTGTTAAAAAAATATATTACATTCAATTCAAATTTTTCTTTTAAATAATGAAATTATCAACGCACTTTGGGCAGTCGTGTGGCTGTAAACAATTGTCTGTTTTTCTTATACGGTTTTTCCCAACTATTATGAATGACTTTTCGGAAAATCAAAAAATGGTCTGGCAAATGCACCAAATATATCCGAAATTCAACAAAAAAGATCTCATTTGTCATTTTTCATTTGGAACAAGGACTTTGGTAAAAAAATTGCTCAGACACACGAAAAAAGTGCGAATACTGGGGACGGAATTGAAATTTTAATAGGAGGTTCGTCATGAGTCATACAAGTGGTAAAAAAAATTGAGTGTAATATAGTATTTTTTAATTTTTTAAAAGAGTTTTAAAATTCAAATTTTGACAAAAATTGTAAATATTACGACCTTTCAAAATATGTACAACCGTACTTCGCTTCGAATCGTTTTTTTTTTTCAATAATGGTTTATCGTTGGTTATACGTATAAATTAAATAACTTTATGTATCTAACTTTCCCCACTATCTACCTAAAACAACCGGGGGGTATTTAAACAGTGACGCACGCAGGGGTGCCAAGGGGCTTAAGCTCCCTCCCATTGACCGTATTATTTTTTTTCAAGTTTCAACTGTAACAATAATTAATAAGTAAAGACTTTTTTTCATAAAATACATTATTTTCGTAAGTAAATAATTTAATTTATCACCGTTGTCTATCAATAATCCTACTATTTTACTATATTATTACAGAATAAAATATAATTAGGTTGAAAACATTATTATTATATTCATCTAACTGTGGAGACACTCGTTACAAACAATGGCTTTGTTATGATTACAACTTTTGCGGTTGGTGTTATCGTGCATACGCGGGCTGTCACCATAATTAAAGATATACTGGTTGCCCAGCGGGCTATGAAATTAACTACAATATTACTCGGATGACAAAATAATTCAGCAGCGCTCGTAGACCGCAGTGGAATATGTATGCGCTATATTATATCACTATCGCAATTCACAAAATATGTTTGTGAGTGTGAAATTTAAAATCATTAGTGATTACGATTTAAGATTAGATTTAAGACAAAAACTTCAGTCACAACTAACAGACTAAAATACAAA